GAAGCAAATAATTTCAATGTTTTCTCCCAGTGCTGTTACTGATATTGCTCAGGCTGGTATTATCCAACCTGTTTTTGTTTTCTCCCAGTGCTGTTGCTGATATTGCTCAGGCTGGTATTATCCAATCTGTTTTTGTTTTCTCCCAGTGCTGTTGCTGATATTGCTCAGGCTGGTATTATCCAATCTGTTTTTGTTTTCTCACAGAGTTACTTGCTTATTCTTTATAACTTACCCTCTCTTCAAATTCGTTTGATGAACAAAGACCTGCATTTTCTTAGTAGAAGCAACGAAAGTTATGACTTATTTTTAAATTGTTGTTTTTTTCCATAAAGAGCTCGTCTAGAAAATGGATATACCATGCGAGGATCCAGAAGGAGGGCTTAAAAGGCTTCACATTGTTTTTGTTTTGTTTGTTTTTTGTTGTTGTTTTTACAGTTTCGGTATTCTATAAAATAATGATTATGATTTGAAAATATGTAAGCCTAGATTTTTTTTCCTTTCCAAATGTCATCCATCCTTCATTAATGATCAGACTAGGTCTGCACTTGCTTACTGTCTTGTTAAACTCCGTCCCCCAGTGGCTCAGCTGTAAGCTTAAAGGCTTATAACGCTAAAAATCGGGTTTCGATACCCGTAATAGGCACAGCACAAATAACCCATTGTGTAGCTTTGCACTTAGCTACAAACAAAGAAAAACAAAAGTTAAAACCTTGTTTTATAGTTTAGTTACTTTAACCTTTTTCTCTTTTGTAATTGAACCAAAAGGGTGAGAAATCAGATGTAACAAAACACTTTTAAAACTAAGGACAAAATGATGAGCTTCCATCATATTAAACTTTACCTCTTTAACACTTGTAAAACTAACGACAAAATGATGAGCTTCCATCATATTAAACTTTACCTCTTTAACACTTGTAAAACTAAGGACAAAATGATAAGCTTCCATCATATTAAACTTTACCTCTTTAACACTTGTAAAACTAAGGACAAAATGATAAGCTTCCATCATATTAAACTTTACCTCTTTCAGTTGTTAACAAAACATTTTTAGATTTCAATAAAGTTCACGGCTTTTGTTGATTAAACAGATTCCCGGCAAAGCAATAGAAGAACGAACTTTGAAGTTCTCCGCCTTCGACAGTAACAGAGGGAAGCGACATAGCTTCATAGGTCACGTGGTCTATCCACTGAAGTGCTCTGACTTTACAACCAATGGGAACTTGATTATCTGGAGAGACTTGGAGAAAAACGCAGATGAGGTTTAATTTGCCAAGTTTTTCATGCGTTTAAAAGCTCTACTGATTAGATTTAATTAAGAAAATCAGTGACATAGACACTCTGTATATAACCATGTAGCTTGTCTTCGTGCGACTACTTTACTCAATATATTTGATACACTTTGCTATTTTTTAACTGAATTGGATTCAACTAAACAATATATAGAAAAGTTAATTACTAAGAATCACTGAGTTGAGCTTAACAACCTAAAGTATGAACTTAAATGTACAGGATAGATTTTACAGAAAATGTGATTTTGTGAATACTTAGTTCATGATAATATGATTTCTGGCATACAGTTAATTATGTTACTTCTTTATCCTTAAGTTCTTTACTAAGTGTTACTCCAACATGTAATTGTTTTACTTCTTGTCTCGCTTTAGCTTTGAAAGTTATACATGAATATTTTGGAAAGCATAATAAACATGTAAAAAAAAGCAACACACATTTTTCTTAGTTGTCAGGCCTTTTGTTTGTGTGTGTCTTTCAACAAGGAAAATTATTTTTGTTACTACTCTGACCTTATTTAGACATAAGCGACCCTTTGTGATTTCTGTGTTAAAACTCGACTGATCTGTCAAGGAAAGAAAAAGTTAATGCTTCCAGCATATGGACAGCAAGCACATGGATTTTTGTTTTTCGTACAAATATTTCATTTATTGTTCTTAATTCAAAAAATGACTCACTTGCAGTAAAAGTGTAATATATACATACAGATCCACGTTAAATGTATTTGTATATTATTCATTAATTAGGATCTGTGGTATTTTCAGGTAAAGTTGACTTACACATAAGTATTAGACAGCTCCACTAATAACAACCGGGTTGATCAGGAAACTCATGAGTGAGCTGAATCTGAAAAGTAGACTAAGTTTTCTGTTTGGAAAAAAACTGATAAGTTTGAGAAAATTAATACAGTCTTTAATTCAATCAAACAAAATAGAAAATGCAGCATGCGTACTTGCGCAAATAAGTAGACACTCACTTCTATAAGACCATTGAGTAGATTCATTGGTCTCTCAGGATCAATCTCTGGCGAAATAGTTACAAAAAAAAAACATGTAGAATTGAGAACAAATAGTTGCTTCAATTTTAAGAGAAAGCTCGTTTTCTTTCTCTTACGCGGTTGTCACCAAGTGATTATTGTTTTTTCACAGTATTCGTCGGCTGTAACATACAGACATTATCTACTCAGCCAGTAAAGAACGTTGCAGTTGTTGACCCTTCTAACGCTTAAATTAACTATACCGCAACATCCTCTTAGTCACTATAGATATTACCTACTACAGAGAACAAAGAAACTAGAACAAGGCAACTTCAACGGTTATGGACCATATGTTTAGGCTAAAATTGCATAGAAACTAGACAAACGAAAAGTTTTCATTTTTTTAACTCAAAATAGAAAACATAAGATTTCCTGCATATCACAGTCCTAATAGGTTTATGCTAACCCTGGCATGAATATTTTCTGCTTTTCTGAGAATCATGCTCTAAACAAGTTTCCAATATAGTCTCACTATTGGTGCAAAAGCTACGCCAGCTGATAACAACCAGAAGCCTATAATCTGATTTTTTGAATTAACCTTTCCAATGATGTTTCGTACGATTTTAAAAAAAATCGTGGCAGTGATTTAGTTTTTAAAGAGAAGAAAGAAACTTTCCTAAGCTGGGGTGTTTAGGAATTTGATTATCCCCCTTCGACCCTCTCGCAGTTAATTATCTATCAAATCCACGGTCGAGTTAGATTCGGGTAGAGAAACTATTCTGGTACTGAACTATGATGAAGTTAGAGTATTCAAAATTACAGAAATGTCAGGAGGCGCCGGAGGCAGAGAGAAGGCCGAGGCTGGATATATGACGTCAATGGAGCGAAGTTTAGAGACATAGTTTACTGGAACCAACTTCCTGTGATCAGGGTCATCGAGTGGCTGGGATCTGTAAACCCTATGCCGAAGGGGGGGGGGGTCATTGGATCCAAATGCTGTAGAATTTGTTGTGGGGGAAAACGGGAGTACACCGAGAAAACAAACTTTCACAGGACAGGCGCCGAATAATATATCTGTCCTGTGCCCAAGCTGAAATGATAAAACAACAGAGAATGGATTATAATAAACAAGTCTTTATGATTATTTTATTATTATGTCTATGTTAATTAACTTAGAAGCTAAATATTTGTTGTATGGGGGAAACTGCTTTATGTGGGGCGCTTGTCATGATAGGTAGGACGGCAGTTAATGTGTTTCTCGTTTCTCCTTTTCGATAGTAATTGAGTGCTAGAGATGTTAATATTTCGTTTACTCATTGAAGTTTGTAAATTTAGGAAGCCTTAGGACTTATCTTAAAATTCTGATTTGTTGAAGTTGTAGCTTGTTACAATTTCTGTCGGGCATATTGAAGGTGACGTGGTACACGTACTATATTAGTGGGCGTAGATAACCCGAGTAGATTTTAATAATGGTGGATGATTTACAACCTTTTTCCTTTCCTGCAATGAGCCTTAGATGTGTGATTCGTTTACCGGCAGACTTGTTTATATTTCTGAAGTGTTCAGCCCATGTAAGACGGTTATCGAAGGTGATACCAAGAGACTTGGCAGAGGGGCATATTTTTATTTCGGTATTGTTCAGTTTTAACTTACCTTTTTTTTAACGTCTGTGGTCAGAGTAAGCCATTTTATTGTTAGTTTGAACCAGACAGACGGGGTTTGTAGTAGGGAACGCTGACCTGCCAAAACAACACATTTTGTATGCTGATAAAAATTTTCAGCCATGGCGCCTAGAGTGCGCTCATTTGAGTTATCTTCGTGTCAGTGGACACTTAAACATGTAGTCACTGCTCGGGTAGGTCCCATACTCAAAGTACGGAATGCCATAACATACCACCCTAACACCCCAACACGTATCTGGTAAAATAGAATCACGTTAATATAGTTTCGATGTGTACAAAAAAGGAAAAAACTAGAAATAAAATAAACGTTATTAACATTTCACCTAAAACAACGATTCTTTTAAAAAAAAGGCTAATAAAATGACTTTTTCTAATATTTCCAATTAATTCTACTTATATATATATATATACAGTTTTTACTATACGATTGATCAGGACCTTCTATTGTTTTCCTACGTGATGTTTCTCATATAATAATATATTATTTTATGTTTCGTATGTAGTTAAAATATCTCTACATAGATTAAACTATTTTATGAAATATGTTTATCATATTTCAAGCAGCAATTATTTAAATATTCTTATACTTTGTAAGTGAAGGTTTCTTCCGATCTTGGTGAGCTACTGGTCAGCCTGATTTATAGTCAAACTTTGGAACGTTTAACTGTTACAATACATGAGGCTCAAGGTCTTCAGCTACCAGAGGATTCCTGTTTTATAGGTGAGTGGATTAGATCGTCAGCATGTAAAAGTTACTGTAACTTTTATACCACTACTAGACTATCTCACAGACTATCTAAAGATTCCTTATCCTATGTGAAACCTCAACAAGTTGTTTACTATGTATATATATTATTTTTTGATAATTTATTACTTATGTGATAGGCCTACAGTATTGATTGTTTGTAGTTGAGCACAAAGCTACACACCATGTACTATCTGTCCTCTGCCCACCACCGGTATCGAAACCCGATCTCTAGCGTTGTAAGTCGAGGACATCCCGCTGTGCCACTGAGGGAGGGGGGGGGGGCGGTCCTACATTACAAAAGACTGAACGCGGCTCTTTGTATATAGTAGACCACGCTAAATCTAACACTTCAACTAATTATTAGTCTAATCGGTTTCTATGACACTCATTGACAGACCTACCGCCAGAGCGAATTAACTTCATCTCTTGTAGACTTACCTCAAAAATTAAATTAAAATCACAGAATTATTAAGAAAATGTATTGTTGTAATATAATTTCTGTTGTTGACCGAGTCATTTTGTATTATGCGGTAAGAACAACGGTTTTCAAATGTTTTAATTTGCGGACCATCTGAAATTGTTTTTCGCGCTGTCACTTCTTGTTCGTAATCATGCAACCTTTCTGAGGACCACAGATTGAAAACTGCTGGGTTAAAATTATAATGGAAACTTCAGCCCGCTGAAATAACGACAATAAAAACGTAAAGCGTTAGCCTAAACAACATTCACCGACGGGCCTAACTTCACAAATATATTACGCTTACCTTATAATTTTGTATCTCTATATCAGATCACAAACTCACGCTCTTTTCCACCATTGAAGTTAGGTAATGTTTTCGTAAAAATACTAATTCCCGATGAGAATCCACTGAAGTTAACTGATTTGTAACGTTCGAAATTTATAAATATTCCTGGTCAAATATCTTAAGTTTGCGATTAATAAGCGTTATAAAAATTCACAGTTATAGCTTTCGAAGTTTATAGCGCACTGATTATAGCGAACTACTAATAGACACACTTTTCGGCGCGTCGCATTGGTTATATTTATAGCCGTGGGAAGGTTTTCTAGAGAATTCAGTCTTACGTAACAAACAATACTGAGCTACATTTAAACGTTACGTATATACATAT